ACCTTGAAGAGCCAGCGGCCATCGACTACGTTCACCCTAGGCGGGGGAACTGCGTCCACGAAGGTGCCGGTGGATCTCCAAGATGCCATCTCCTGCTCCATGGCAGCTATCCACTACGAGGCCCAGGGTCCCGAAGTCGCCTCAGCGTAAGTGCGAGGGGTCGGAATGTCGAAAGCGTCTGGGTCACCCTCAGGGACTAGCAGCATGGAACAGAGATGGGGAGCAGCCTCGGACAGGAAAGGAAGCTCGAACTAGCGGTCCTCCAGGACGTCACTGCCAAGGGCAGGAGCACCCCCGACAGACGGAGGACAGGCAGGGTCAGAGACCAGAGCGGCGGGTAGAGGCGAAGTCAGCGACCGCAGCGACAAGAGCGTCAAGGCACGAGACCGGAACGGACGGGTTGGTAACGAGAGAGGCAAGGACCCGAGGAACAAGAGGACGAGCGGCACGAAGGTAGTCAGACAGCGGGGGGGGTGCAACCACAAGGGAGGACGGAGGAGGCGACGGCAGAAGGGGAGGACGAGACGCGTGGGAACGAAGCAACATAGGGTGGGAGCGCAAGACAGGCGAGGCAGGACGAGCACGGGAGGGACGGTGAGACCAGACGTGCGACGGAGGAGTCAGGTCAGCAGACAGGGGAGGGGACACAGGAGGGGAACGAGGGGGAAGACAGGCCGGGGACGAGTCCGGCGGAGGGAACACAGGGCCGTAGATGGGAAGAGGAGGAGACGGTCGGAGAGGAACAGACGCAGGGTCGGGGGACGGAAGGCCGAGCAGGCGAAGGGCTGACACCAACGGGGACTGCGCTGCGGCGGCACAACGGCGACACCTGGACCGCAAACTGCTCCTCGGCTACCACCGGCACACTCCACACCAGCACCCCCAGAGTGACCACCCCCAGGGCGACCGGGACGAGCACCCCCAGAGTCAGCGAACGGGTGCTGCGACGGCGGCGGCGGCGGCGGTAGCGACCACGACGGCGGCAGAGGCGGTGGAGGAGGGGACTGGGGAGGGGACGCCGGGGGAGGGGCGGCCGGCGAGGACTGCGCAGCAGGGCCACCAGAGTCAGAAGACTCCTCAACCGGGTCCACCGACGGGAGGGGGGTGACGTGGGACACACCAGTGGGGGCAGGACGGGGAGGAGGAGGAGGAGGGGCAGGGACTACCGGGGAAGGAGTGACCAGGAACAGGGGGGGGCGTAACCGGGGGACCGCGGTGGGTGAAGCGACGGTAGTAGGAGACGGACTCGTCAAAGGTGACGTCGCGAGAGTGAAAGAAGCGGTGAGACGGCGGGTGGTAAAAGTGCCAGTCGGACGCGTCAAGGGGAAAACCGAGGAAGACGCAGGGAAGGGTGCGGGCAGTGAGCTTGTCCGTGCCGGAGGCACGGACGTGAGCAAGGCAGCCCCAGACGTGGAACGCAGACGCGTCACCAGGAGACCCAGTCCAAAGACAGGTCGGCGAAACCTGCGGCTGCTGAGGGTGCGGCCACAAGTTAAGCTGGTGAGAAGCGTAGGGCACAGCGAACGGCCACAGAAAATGGGGTGCACCGGCATGGATCATGGAGGTGCGAGCCACCTCCATGACCAAACCGATGCGTCGCTCAGCGACCCCATTCTGCTGTGGGGAGTCCGGTAGGGTGAACGTCTGGGTGATGCCCTCCGCACGACAAAAGCGACCAAGGACACCTGAGGCAAACTCGCCACCACGGTCGGAGTGAAGACGCAAGACACGGAGACCGCGGTGGACACGCGCAGAGACAAGCCAGGGGATGAGAGCGCCAGGTACGTCGGCCTTACGCTCCAGGGGAAAGACTGTGGTGTAACGAGTGAAGTCGTCGACAAGGACAAGGAAGTAGCGCTCTCGACGCGGCCCAGGGACGGGGGCGGGGCCCCAGACGTCCAGGTGCAGGGTCTGCAGCGGCGCGGCGGTAGGGGGAAACGAGGAGGAGTGAGGGGCACGGCGAAGCCGACCCTCGACACAAGGCGTGCAAGGTGGGGCCGGGGAGGAGGGAAACGCAGGGAGAGAACCTGGGAGACCAAGGACAAGACCGTGCTGGGACATGTGACGCAGACGCGGGAGCGCAGGGTGACCTAGGCGGTGGTGCCAAAGGAGAGTCGGGTGAGTGAGGGACCGACAGGAGCAGGCAGCAGCAACCTGGGTGAGCGCACCAGCCGGGGGGGTCACGGTGTCCAGAGTGAACGGGCCGGACACCGGGTCCCGGGGGAACGTGGACCGGGGGGCACCAGTGGCGGCCTCGGTACAGACAGCATACCGCTCGTGACCAGGGAACGTAGTGGTGACGCCAAGGTCCTGGAGGCAGCCGACACCAACTAGGTTCCTGGAGAACGAGGGGATATGCAGACCTGTGAGAGAGCCCGAAGGAACCGCCGGACAGGGAAGGGTGGTGGAACTGCGGGCGACTACCGGACCACCGGAGGGGTCAGCAAGAGAAACGGCAGCAGGAACAGGAAGCAGCGTCAGTGTAGTGGAGTCGCGGAAGAAGCACCGGGAAGCGCCAGAGTCCAAGGTGAAGGAAAGCGAAGCAGAGGCGTCTGGCGTGGGGTCGACGGCGGAAGCACCAAGACTAAACAAAGCAGGGGATCCTACGCCTGACGCAGCAGGGGAGGCTAAGCTAGGCACACCTACACTAGATGACAGTGAGTAATAAGCGGGAAGCACACTAGAGTCATCAGCATACATCACATGCAGAGCAGCAACAATGGCATCCATGTCCAAGTCAAAAATCGGAATACTACGTCTAAGCATGCTGTGCCAGTCCGGGAGGTCTGGCGACGGGCCGAAGCGCTGACGGAACAGGTCGTCCAGGCGACGAAAACAGCGGGGAGTGGAATGACCGATCTTACCGCAAATGAGGCCGCAGCGAGGACCGGTCTGGATCTGGTACTGACAACGCACGCCCCTGGAACCACCACTCGGTACACCACCACGCGCCCGACCACTGCCAGCGCCGGGCCACCCAGGCGGGAGGACACTCGTCTGCCTCGGCTGCGGCGGCTGCTGCGGCTGCTGCGAAGGCTGCGGCTGCTGCGACTGCGGCGGCTGCTGCGGCTGCTGCTGCTGCGACTGCAGGGGCAGCGGCTCAGCTGGACTGAGCAGGGTACCCTTGTCCGCTCCAGCACCAGACGACCCGACTCCACCACCACCCCCTCCAGCACCCCCGCCTCCTCCGCCGCGCCCAACCTTGGGGCGGCGGCCCTTCCCCGAACGAAACTGTGCTGCAGCAGCAGTCTCAGCCACAGCGGCAGAGCCTCCGGAGAAGGTACACTGAGCGGGGGCACAGCCCTGAAAGATAGGGACCGGCACGGTACCGCTCGCCTGGGCGATGGAGCGGTGGCGGGTCTCAATCACAGTCAGGGTGTCGACAAAGTCAGTGAGGGTGAGGTCTGCGGGGTGAATGCTAAGGAAGCGGTCGCGGGCGACAGCAAGGCGGTCAGGGAGGCGGGTGGCAAGCAGGTAAAGGGTAGTGCAGGGCGGTGCGGGGCGGTGCAGGGCTGTGCAGTGCGGTGCAGGGCAGTGCAGGGAGGGGGGGGGGGGGACCGTACCAGTGAGGAGGAAGGGGCCGGGGCAGGGATGAGCGCAGGGGCCGGGCAGGGCGCAACGGGGCCGGGCGGGTGCGACGGGGCCGGGCCGGTGCGACGGGGCCGGGCGGGTGCGACGGGGCCGGGCGGGCGCGACGGGGCCGGGCAGGCGCGACGGGGCCGGGCCGGTGCGACGGGGTCGGGCAGGTGCAACGGGGCCGGGCCTGTGCGACGGGGCCGGGCGGGTGCGACGGGGCCGGGCGGGCGCGACGGGGCCGGGCAGGTGCGACGGGGCCGGGCCGGTGCGACGGGGCCGGGCAGGTGCGACGGGGCCGGGGGCGGGTGCGACGGGGCCGGGCGGGCGCGACGGGGCCGGGCAGGTGCGACGGGGCCGGGCAGGTGCGACGGGGCCGGGCAGGGCGCGGCGGGGCCGGGCAGGGCGCGACGCGGCCCTGGAGGGGCACTACGGGGCCCAGGAGGGGCCGAGGCGGGGCGCGACGGGGCCCAGGAGGGGCGCGACGGGGCCCAGGAGGGGCACTACGGGGCCCAGGAGGGGCACTACGGGGCCCAGGAGGGGCCCAGGAGGGGCGCGACGGGGCCCAGGAGGAGCGCTACGGGGCCCAGGAGGGGCGTGACGCGGCCCTGGAGGGGCACTACGGGGCCCAGGAGGGGCCGAGGCGGGGTGCGACGGGGCCCAGGAGGGGCGCTACGGGGCCCAGGAGGGGCGCTACGGGGCCCAGGAGGAGCGCTACGGGGCCCAGGAGGGGCGTGACGCGGCCCTGGAGGGGCACTACGGGGCCCAGGAGGGGCCGAGGCGGGGTGCGACGGGGCCCAGGAGGGGCGCTACGGGGCCCAGGAGGGGCGCTACGGGGCCCAGGAGGGGCCCAGGAGGGGCGCGACGGGGCCCAGGAGGGGCACTACGGAGCCCAGGTGGGGCCCAGGAGGGGCGAGACGGGGCCCAGGAGGGGCGCTACGGGGCCCAGGAGGGGCCCAGGAGGGGCGCGACGGGGCCCAGGAGGGGCGCTACGGGGCTAGGAGGTCGCGACGGGGCTGGGGGGTCGCGACGGGTCCTAGGGGGTCGCGACGGGGGCTAGGGGGTCGCGACGGGGCCCAGGAGGGGCGCGGCAGGGCTAGGGGCACGACGGGGCCCAGGAGGTCGCGACGGGGCTAGCGGGGAGGCACGGCGGGGCCTAGCTAGGGGACGAGCGGAAGCGGTAGGTGGGGGGATCCTAACCTACGCGTGATACCATATCGAACTGAGAGAAGTGAATGTTAGGATAGATGGAGAGTACAGATAGATATACCTGAGTATTGTACCCTCTAAGAGATGACCCTATACAGTCTAAGCAAACATAACAAATACACATGTTTGACAAGAAGTACCATTTCCTTACAAATATGCACTTCATTTTCAATCTGAAAATGCTTATGCACATTCCATAGTTCATGGGTGTTATACAAAAATGGCCTTCGTATATACCCACCTCGAAATAGATGAATTTTTATTACCACCATAGGGTACTATATACGGGGTATTACGGTATGTGTTAGCATATATGAACTGTAGCCTTGGTAGGGTACAGATTGTATAGAGTACAACACCTTGCACCATGCTCGCAAGGACCATGCTCCGTCCAACTTCTAAGCTGATGGCAATCTCGTCAATTTTTTACAACCACCATATCAGCCTTGCAGCAAAACCAAGCACGGTTCCAGTTCCCCACGCCCATCACGGCAGCATCTCCAGCGGGCTGTGGCTGCTGGCAGCAGCGGCGAGCGCGTGCGTGGTGTGGAGGAAGCGACGCGCCGCAGCATCGCGGCGGGCAGGCTGCTCCGCCACGTGGTGCAGCATGGCCAGCAGGTAGCTCGCCTCGCCCTCCAGCGATAGCTCCTGCGCGGGGGGGAGAAGGGGAGAGGGAGGGAGAGGGAGGGGGAGGGAGGGAGAGGGAGAGGGAGGGAGGGAGGGAGAGGGAGAAGGAGGGAGGGAGCAGGCGGGAGAGGGAGAAGGAGGGAGAGGGAGAGAGAGGGAGGGAGAGGGAGGGAGAGGGAGGGAGGGAGGGAGAGGGAGAGAGAGGGAGGGAGAGGAAGGGAGAGGGAGAGGGAGGGAGGGAGAGGGAGGGAGAGGGAGAGGGAGGGAGAGGGAGAGGGAGGGAGAGGGAGGGAGAGGGAGGGAGAAGGAGGGAGAGGGAGAGGGAGAGAGGGAGAGGGAGGGAGAGGGAGGGAGGGAGAGGGAGAGGGAGAGGGAGAGGGAAGGAGAGGTAGGGAGGAGGAGGGAGAGGAGAGGGAGGAGGGAGAGGGAGGGAGGGAGAGGGAGGGAGGGAGAGGGAGGGAGGGGGAGGGAGAGGGAGAGGGAGGGAGAGGGAGAGGGAGGGAGAGGGAGAGGGAGGGAGAGGGAGGGAGAGGGAGAGGGGGAGAGAGGGAGGGAGAGGGAGGGATAGGGAAAGGGACAGGGAGAGGGAGAGGGAGGAAGGGGAGGAACCCAAGGAGGAAACGGAGGAAACGTGAGGAAATGAGTAAAAGGGATGTGGTGCAATCGCGAGGTGGAAGGAGACTGGAGACATGGATGTAGGGAGGTTGCGACATGAGGCGCGAGTGGGTCCATCATGCATGCACAGCTCCATCATGCATGCACAGCTCCATCATGCATGCACAGCTCCATCATGCATGCACAACTCCATCATGCATGCACAGCTCCATCATGCATGCACAGCTCCATCATGCATGCACAACTCCATCATGCATGCACAGCTCCATCATGCATGCACAGCTCCATCATGCATGCACAGCTCCATCATGCATGCACAGCTCCATCATGCATGCACAGCTCCATCATGCATCAACAGCTCCATCATGCATCAACAGCTCCATCATGCATGCACAGCTCCATCATGCATACACAACTCCATCATGCATGCACAACTCCATCATGCATGCACAGCTCCATCATGCATGCACAGCTCCATCATGCATGCACAACTCCATCATGCATGCACAGCTCCATCATGCATGCACAGCTCCATCATGCATGCACAGCTCCATCATGCATGCACAGCTCCATCATGCATGCACAGCTCCATCATGCATCAACAGCTCCATCATGCATGCACAGCTCCATCATGCATACACAGCTCCATTGTGCATGCACAGCTCCATCATGCATCAACAGCTCCATCATGCATGCACAGCTCCATCATGCATGCACAGCTCCATCATGCATGCACAGCTTGTTAGAATATAACATTCTCTTTATCCTACATAGTTTCTTGTACTTGGGTATATATAACCAAGTTGGGCTATTTAGGGGTGTAGATAAATGTTGGGGTTGGATATTCAACCAACCCTTGACCCCAACTATCCAGGTGTTCAATCTTGTTGGTCTTCCACCAACATTATTGGCTCCTCAATTGTTGGTGGTCCAACCTTCCCAACCATCATTGGTCCAACCAATAATGGTTGGGTTGGTCAAGCCCTTCTTGACCTAGGATTGGCTCCCTAGGTATATAACCCTGTACCACCTCCCTCTATAGTAAATTCTTCTCTCTACATTTTCTAACATGGTTATCAGAGCTTCTGGCTCACGCCCCGCTCGATCCTCCCTGGCAGAATTTTCTCGCTCCTCTCCCTCTCCTAGCTCGACTCTCACGCCAAGGAGTAGTCCAGCCAACTAGTGCAAATCACGCTAAGAGCTCCTAGCTCCCCGCTTCCTGCACCTCCCAAAGCGCATTTCGCGCTGTGCCCTCCTCCCCCGCTCCCGCGCATTTCGCGCCACGCTCAACCGCATTTCGCCTCTGCGCGAAATTTCGTCGCGACATAATTCGTCACGACGAATTTCCTCACGCGCCAATCGCGCTCACCTCCCCGCTCCTTGCTCGGCGCCCACCGCGCCTGCGCGTCATCGCGCCCCTTCCCCGCTCTCCCAGCTGGCATTCCGCGCAACGAATTTCGCCGCTCGAAATTTCGTCGCGGCGGATTTCCATGCCAGCGCATTTCGCACCAGCGAACTCAACGCTCCCGTCCCTCGCTTGGCGTCACCTGCGCCTGCGCGCTCTTGCGCCCCTTCCTTGGTCGAAGGTCGTCCTCCTCATCGTGACCACCGTGCCCATCACGCCTGTCCCTCCCTTGCTCCTAGCACTGTTTCCGTCCCTGCGCTCGCTGCCTTCGTCGCCGCCGCTACCTTTGACGCCGTTGCTGCCTTAGTCGCCGCCGCTCGCCACCCGCTCCGCCACAGCTGCTCGCCATCCGCCGCTGCTGCACCTCCGCACCTCCTTCCCCGCTGACCGCACCTCCTCCCCCGCTGCCGCACCTCCTTCCCCACTGCCACACCTCCTCCCCCGCTGCCGCACCTCCTTCCCCGCTGCCCCACCTCCTCCACCGCTGCACCACCTCCGTCCGCCACTGCACCACCTCTGTCCGCCGCTGCACCACCTCCTTCACCGCTGCACCACCTCCTCCCCCGCTGCACCACCTCCTCTGCCGCTGCCCCACCTCCTCCGCCGCTGCACCACCTCCGTCCGCCGCTTCACCACCTCCGCCCGCCGCTGCACCACCTCCTTCACCACTGCACCACCTCCTCCGCCGCTGCCCCACCTCCTCCTCTACTACACTCACACCATGGCGGCCGATACACCCACCATCGACATGAGCTCCATCGACCGTCTTGACCTTCACGGCCGCACCACTCCGGTCAATTGGCATTCTTTCGCACAAAGCCTCCACACTCTCCTCAGCTCCACCGTCATCAACGGTTACTACCTTTCCGACATCGTCTTCGGCAAACCGGAAGGAAGGGCGCCGACAGCACCAGTTCAGCCCTCCCTCCTTCCCCCCGTCCCTCCTAGCCCCCATCCAGGTCCGGCTCCTGTTGCGCCGCGTGTACCGGCCTACATCGACAACCCGGACCAATGGGCGCGTCACGCATACGTTATCCAGCACGAGGCCTACGAAGCTGCACTTGCGGCACACACGGCTAGCTCCAACCAGCGTCAGGTGCAAGAAGCCGCCACCGCTCGATACGCTACCGAGACCAGTGAGTACAACGCTCGATTTGCCGGCTGGCACGTTGCTCACATGAAATCTCTCAATCTCCTCCTCGCAAGCATTCCCGATTCTCTTAAGCGTGCGCTCCGTCCCTCTAATGCTGCTCTCCTTTGGAACCAGCTCACTCATGATTATGACCGCCAGGACCTGCGCTCCCTCCTTGCCCTGCACCGTGAATTCCATGCTATCACCCTTGACTCCTGCCCTAATGCTGCCACTTTCACCCGCCGCCTCACAGACAGAGCCCATTGTCTCAACGATCGAGGAGGTGCCATCAGTGACTCGGTCGTCATGTGGCGCCTCCTCGACGGCCTCACCCCCGCCTATGCCACCCACAAGATTGCCTTCACCACTCCCCTCCGTGAACCACCCACATCGGCCCGAGTAATCGAGTGGATCGTTGAGACGGAGGCGGACCTCAAAGATATCACCACCATAGACAATTCCGCCAAGACTGGGGGAGGACGTGGTGGCGGACGTGGTGGAGGGCGTGGCAATGGCGGACGCGGTGGTGGCCGAGGAGGCGGACATGGTGGCGGCCGTGGCACTCCCCCCTCCTCCCCCTCTGGAACCCTCCCCCCATGCCAGTACCTCATCCGCTATGGCTCCCTCAAAGGTCAGCACTGCAATCAGACCACTCACTCTGCTGCCACCTGCTTCAAATGTCTCACGGATGAGTGGTTTGCTCGTGGCAACCACGGATCTCCTCCCCGCTGGTCCACTATCATCCCTCACCCCACTCATGAAGTAAAAACCTTGCCCGCTTATCAGCCCTCCACCTCCAATTTGCACCAGGTCCTCGCCCAGCACCTGACCCCTCAGGCCCTCCAACAGGTACAGCACCTGCTACCACCCTCCGCCATTCCTCCACCCTCCACCTACCCCCCACAGCAACATGTCCACCAGCAGCCGCCGCTTCAGCAACCCACCTGGCCGCCCCAGCCATATCAGCCGCAGCCGCTGCAGCACCCCCAGCAGCACCTGCTGCCGCAGTACCAGCAACACTACCAGCTCCCCACCACTCCTCCTCCCTCGGCACTTCCCCACCAGCAGCCGGCTCATTGGGAACATGGCACTGCTGCCGCTGCAGCTCACCTAGCTGAGTACCCTGCTAGCTCTACTCCCCCAGGCTTCTTGCCTTTTCCGTCTACTGGCTTTGTCGGTCAAGTCACTCAGTTCCCTCCTGTTCCCGCTTCCACTCCAGTGTATGCTGATGCTACTAATACCACCTTGTTCCAGTACTCCGTGCCCCCTACCATTGACTTTGTCATTGACAGTGGTGCAAATGACACCGTCTTAGCCTCCTCCGGCGACCCCTACGCTGAGCTCGTCGGGTCCCTGATGTACGCCATGGTTTGCACTCGCCCCGACCTAGCCTACCCCATCAGTGTCCTTGCCCGATTCGTTGGCTCCGGCAAGCCTTCTGAGGCACACTAGAAGGCAGCCAAGCGTGTCCTTCGTTACCTTCGAGGAACCAAGGACTATGTCCTTACGCTTGGCGGTCGCACCCCACCCACCCTCACCGGCTTCAGCCACTCCTCATGGGCTGACTCCCAGCCCGATCGTCAAACTCCCAGGGGTATGGCTTCACCCTGGGGAGTGGCCTCATCAGCTGGCGCTCGACCCGCTCCTCCTCCATTGCCTTCTCCTCCTGTGAAGCCGAACTCTATGCCGTTACCATGGCTGCACAGGAAGCTCGCTGGCTCGGCTATCTTCTCAAAGAACTTGGTGCCCCTCAGCCCTGCCCCACCATCTGGTGCGACAATGCCAGCACGATACACCTCACCAAAGAAGCAGTTTTCCATGGCCGCTCCAAGCACACCGAGCTCCGCCACTACTTCGTTCGCAAACTCGTCCAAGCCGGCCATCTCACCATCCGGAAGATTGACTCCACTGCCAATCTTGTCGACATCTTCACCAAGGCTCTCCCTCGCATTCCTCACTCCCTCCTCCTCAGCCTCCTAGGCCTTGCTCCTCGCTCCTCCTCCTTCCCTACCTGATTCAGGGGTTGTCTCTACTCCGACCCAAGTACTCTCTCACTATGCAGGCTAAGGGGTTGTGTTAGAATATAACATTCTCTTTATCCTACATAGATTCTTATACTTGGGTATATATAACCAATTTGGGCTATTTAGGGTGTAGATAAATGTTGGGGTTGGATATTCAACCAACCCTTGACCCCAACTATCCAGGTGTTCAATCTCGTTGATCTTCCACCAACATTATTGGCTCCTCAATTGTTGGTGGTCTAACTTTCCCAACCATCATTGGTCCAATCAATAATGGTTGGGTTGGTCAAGCCCTTCTTGACCTAGGATTGGCTCCCTAGGTATATAACCCTGTATGTACCACCTCCCTCTATAGTAAATTCTTCTCTCTACATTTTTTAACACAGTTCCATCATGCATGAACAGCTCCATAATGCATGCACAGCTCCATCATGCATGCACAGCTCCATCATGCATGCACAGCTCCATCATGCATGCACAGCTCCAGCATGCATGCACAGCTCCATCATGCATGCACAGCTCGATCGTGCATGTACAGCTCCATCGTGCATGCACAGCTCCATCATGCATGCACAGCTCCATCATCCATGCACAGCTCCATCATGCATCAACAGCTCCATCATGCATCAACAGCTCCATGATGCATGCACAACTCCAGAGCTGACCTGCATGGTGTGGAAGCCGTGGGCGGCTTCTTCCAGCAGCGGCAGCACTCGAGGCACACACGCATGCACTGCTGCCAGGGATGGTGGGGGGTATGGGTTAGACGCATGGAGGCATGGTATGGTGGCATGGAGGCATGGTGGCATGGAACATGGATGTACAGAGGCATGGAGGTATGGAGGAAACATGGAGGTCAAGCTTATTGAATTTGTGCACGAGGCTTCATAGGGAATATAATTTGGCAGAGGGTTTCTGCCAAGATGCCTGCTAGCCACGTCATCATCACCTGCATCTGAGTGGATGCTGAGCTGGCACTGAGCAATGAACATGAGGGTGCGGCATCTCATGGTGAGTCCTGATTGGCCCAGCAGCACCGGGAGGCACACCCCATCCAGCAGCGACAGTGCGTGCGCCGCATGCTGCCCGCTGCTGCTCTCACCCCCTCCACTGCTGCTGCCACCACCACTGCCACCAGCGCTGCCCCCGCCGGTGGGCGCCAGGGCGAGGGTGGCCTCGGCAGCAGTGAGGGTGGCGGCGGCTGCGAGGTGCAGCAGGTGCAAGTGGCTTGCGAGGGAGGCGCATGTGAGGGCGTGCGGCAGGGCGGATAGGGGAGAGCCGGCTCTCTGGCAGGCAGGGGCCATGGGGGTTGAAACGAGGGGGAATGGCAGGAGGGGGACGAGAGGAGGGAGGCTAGAGTGAACGCACTGAGCAAGGGTGGAAGGCAGGGCACAGAGAGGCAAGGACGAGATGCAGCAGGCGCGCAGGTGCAGCAGGCGCACAGGTGCAGCAGGCGCACGGGTGCAGCAGGCGCACGGGTGCAGCAGGCGCCTTGGTGACTGACAGCCCTCGCTGATGATAACCCGCCCTCTCTCCTACTGCCCCACGCCAGCATGCTTTCCCCCAGTCTGTCACCAGGTGCATAAATTACGTGCTTCAGGAGTCAAACCGGGTGTCTTGGGTGTCTCACCAGGTACTCAGGAGCGTCAGGTGCCTCACCAGGTACTCAGGAGCGTCAGGTGCCTCACCAGGCACTCAGCAGCGTCAGGTGCCTCACCAGGTACTCAGGAGCGTCAGGTGCCTCACCAGGAACTCAGGAACGTCAGGTGCCTCACCAGGTACTCAGGAGCGTCAGGTGCCTCACCAGGTACTCAGCAGCGTCAGGTACCTCACCAGGTACTCAGGAGCGTCAGGTGCCTCACCAGGTACTCAGGAGCGTCAGGTGCCTCACCAGGTACTCAGGAGTGTCAGGTGCCGCACCAGGTACTCAGGAGCGACAGGTGCCTCACCAGGTACTCAGGAGCGTCAGGTGCCTCATCAGGTACTCAGGAGCGTCAGGTGCCTCACCAGGTACTCGGGAGCGTCAGGTGCCTCACCAGGTACTCAGGAGCATCAGGTGCCTCACCAGGTACTCAGGAGCGTCAGGTGCCTCACCAGGTACTTAGGAGCGTCAGGTGCCTCACCAGGTACTCAGGAGCGTCAGGTGCCTCACCAGGTACTCAGCAGCGTCAGGTACCTCACCAGGTACTCAGGAGCGTCAGGTGCCTCACCAGGTACTCAGGAGCGTCAGGTGCCTCACCAGGTACTCAGGAGTGTCAGGTGCCTCACCAGGCACTCAGCAGTGTCAGGTGCCTCACCAGGTACTCAGGAGCGTCAGGTGCCTCACCAGGTTCTTAGGAGCGTCAGGTGCCTCACCAGGTACTCAGGAGTGTCAGGTGCCTCACCAGGTACTCAGCAGCGTAAGGTACCTCACCAGGTACTCAGGAGCGTCAGGTGCCTCACCAGGTACTCAGGAGCGTCAGGTGCCTCACCAGGTACTCAGGAGTGTCAGGTGCCTCACCAGGTACTCAGGAGCGACAGGTGCCTCACCAGGTACTCAGGAGCGTCAGGTCCCTCACCAGGTACTCAGCAGCGTCAGGTGCCTCACCAGGTACTCAGGAGCGTCAGGTGCCTCACCAGGTACTCAGGAGCGTCAGGTGCCTCACCAGGTACTCAGGAGCGCCAGGTGCCTCACCAGGTACTCAGGAGCGTCAGGTGCCTCACCAGGTACTCAGCAGCGTCAGGTGCCTCACCAGGTACTCAGGAGCGTCAGGTGCCTCACCAGGTACTCAGGAGCATCAGGTGCCTCACCAGGTACTCAGGAGTGTCAGGTGCCTCACCAGGTACTCAGGAGCGTCAGGTGCCTCATCAGGTACTCAGGAGCATCAGGTGCCTCACCAGGTACTCAGGAGCGTCAGGTGCCCCACCAGGTACTCAGGAGCGTCAGGTGCCTCATCAGGTACTCAGGAGCGTCAGGTGCCTCACCAGGTACTCGGGAGCGTCAGGTGCCTCACCAGGTACTCAGGAGCATCAGTTCCTCACCAGGTACTCAGGGGCGTCAGGTGCCTCACCAGGTACTCAGGAGCGTCAGGTGCCTCACCAGGTACTCAGGAGCGTCAGGTGCCTCACCAGGTACTCAGGAGCGTCAGGTACCTAACCAGGTACTCAGGAGCATCAGGTGCCTCACCAGGTACTCAGGAGCGTCAGGTGCATCACCAGGTACTCAGGAGCGTCAGGTGCCTCACCAGGTACTCAGGAGCGTCAGGTGCCTCACCAGGTACTCAGCAGCGTCAGGTACCTCACCAGGTACTCAGGAGCGTCAGGTGCCTCACCAGGTACTCAGGAGCGTCAGGTGCCTCACCAGGTACTCAGGAGTGTCAGGTGCCGCACCAGGTACTCAGGAGCGACAGGTGCCTCACCAGGTACTCAGGAGCGTCAGGTGCCTCATCAGGTACTCAGGAGCGTCAGGTGCCTCACCAGGTACTCGGGAGCGTCAGGTGCCTCACCAGGTACTCAGGAGCATCAGGTGCCTCACCAGGTACTCAGGAGCGTCAGGTGCCTCACCAGGTACTTAGGAGCGTCAGGTGCCTCACCAGGTACTCAGGAGCGTCAGGTGCCTCACCAGGTACTCAGCAGCGTCAGGTACCTCACCAGGTACTCAGGAGCGTCAGGTGCCTCACCAGGTACTCAGGAGCGTCAGGTGCCTCACCAGGTACTCAGGAGTGTCAGGTGCCTCACCAGGCACTCAGCAGTGTCAGGTGCCTCACCAGGTACTCAGGAGCGTCAGGTGCCTCACCAGGTTCTTAGGAGCGTCAGGTGCCTCACCAGGTACTCAGGAGTGTCAGGTGCCTCACCAGGTACTCAGCAGCGTAAGGTACCTCACCAGGTACTCAGGAGCGTCAGGTGCCTCACCAGGTACTCAGGAGCGTCAGGTGCCTCACCAGGTACTCAGGAGTGTCAGGTGCCTCACCAGGTACTCAGGAGCGACAGGTGCCTCACCAGGTACTCAGGAGCGTCAGGTCCCTCACCAGGTACTCAGCAGCGTCAGGTGCCTCACCAGGTACTCAGGAGCGTCAGGTGCCTCACCAGGTACTCAGGAGCGTCAGGTGCCTCACCAGGTACTCAGGAGCGCCAGGTGCCTCACCAGGTACTCAGGAGCGTCAGGTGCCTCACCAGGTACTCAGCAGCGTCAGGTGCCTCACCAGGTACTCAGGAGCGTCAGGTGCCTCACCAGGTACTCAGGAGCGTCAGGTGCCTCACCAGGTACTCAGCAGCGTCAGGTACCTCACCAGGTACTCAGGAGCGTCAGGTGCCTCACCAGGTACTCAGGAGCGTCAGGTGCCTCACCAGGTACTCAGGAGTGTCAGGTGCCTCACCAGGCACTCAGCAGTGTCAGGTGCCTCACCAGGTACTCAGGAGCGTCAGGTGCCTCACCAGGTTCTTAGGAGCGTCAGGTGCCTCACCAGGTACTCAGGAGTGTCAGGTGCCTCACCAGGTACTCAGCAGCGTAAGGTACCTCACCAGGTACTCAGGAGCGTCAGGTGCCTCACCAGGTACTCAGGAGCGTCAGGTGCCTCACCAGGTACTCAGGAGTGTCAGGTGCCTCACCAGGTACTCAGGAGCGACAGGTGCCTCACCAGGTACTCAGGAGCGTCAGGTCCCTCACCAGGTACTCAGCAGCGTCAGGTGCCTCACCAGGTACTCAGGAGTGTCAGGTGCCTCACCAGGTACTCAGGAGCGTCAGGTGCCTCACCAGGTACTCAGGAGCGCCAGGTGCCTCACCAGGTACTCAGGAGCGTCAGGTGCCTCACCAGGTACTCAGCAGCGTCAGGTGCCTCACCAGGTACTCAGGAGCGTCAGGTGCCTCACCAGGTACTCAGGAGCATCAGGTGCCTCACCAGGTACTCAGGAGTGTCAGGTGCCTCACCAGGTACTCAGGAGCGTCAGGTGCCTCATCAGGTACTCAGGAGCATCAGGTGCCTCACCAGGTACTCAGGAGCGTCAGGTGCCCCACCAGGTACTCAGGAGCGTCAGGTGCCTCATCAGGTACTCAGGAGCGTCAGGTGCCTCACCAGGTACTCAGGAGCGTCAGGTGCCCCACCAGGTACTCAGGAGCGTCAGGTGCCTCATCAGGTACTCAGGAGCGTCAGGTGCCTCACCAGGTACTCGGGAGCGTCAGGTGCCTCACCAGGTACTCAGGAGCATCAGTTCCTCACCAGGTACTCAGGGGCGTCAGGTGCCTCACCAGGTACTCAGGAGCGTCAGGTGCCTCACCAGGTACTCAGGAGCGTCAGGTGCCTCACCAGGTACTCAGGAGCGTCAGGTACCTAACCAGGTACTCAGGAGCATCAGGTGCCTCACCAGGTACTCAGGAGCGTCAGGTGCATCACCAGGTACTCAGGAGCGTCAGGTGCCTCACCAGGTACTCAGGAGCGTCAGGTGCCTCACCAGGTACTCAGCAGCGTCAGGTACCTCACCAGGTACTCAGGAGCGTCAGGTGCCTCACCAGGTACTCAGGAGCGTCAGGTGCCTCACCAGGTACTCAGGAGTGTCAGGTGCCGCACCAGGTACTCAGGAGCGACAGGTGCCTCACCAGGTACTCAGGAGCGTCAGGTGCCTCATCAGGTACTCAGGAGCGTCAGGTGCCTCACCAGGTACTCGGGAGCGTCAGGTGCCTCACCAGGTACTCAGGAGCATCAGGTGCCTCACCAGGTACTCAGGAGCGTCAGGTGCCTCACCAGGTACTTAGGAGCGTCAGGTGCCTCACCAGGTACTCAGGAGCGTCAGGTGCCTCACCAGGTACTCAGCAGCGTCAGGTACCTCACCAGGTACTCAGGAGCGTCAGGTGCCTCACCAGGTACTCAGGAGCGTCAGGTGCCTCACCAGGTACTCAGGAGTGTCAGGTGCCTCACCAGGCACTCAGCAGTGTCAGGTGCCTCACCAGGTACTCAGGAGCGTCAGGTGCCTCACCAGGTTCTTAGGAGCGTCAGGTGCCTCACCAGGTACTCAGGAGTGTCAGGTGCCTCACCAGGTACTCAGCAGCGTAAGGTACCTCACCAGGTACTCAGGAGCGTCAGGTGCCTCACCAGGTACTCAGGAGCGTCAGGTGCCTCACCAGGTACTCAGGAGTGTCAGGTGCCTCACCAGGTACTCAGGAGCGACAGGTGCCTCACCAGGTACTCAGGAGCGTCAGGTCCCTCACCAGGTACTCAGCAGCGTCAGGTGCCTCACCAGGTACTCAGGAGCGTCAGGTGCCTCACCAGGTACTCAGGAGCGTCAGGTGCCTCACCAGGTACTCAGGAGCGCCAGGTGCCTCACCAGGTACTCAGGAGCGTCAGGTGCCTCACCAGGTACTCAGCAGCGTCAGGTGCCTCACCAGGTACTCAGGAGCGTCAGGTGCCTCACCAGGTACTCAGGAGCATCAGGTGCCTCACCAGGTACTCAGGAGTGTCAGGTGCCTCACCAGGTACTCAGGAGCGTCAGGTGCCTCATCAGGTACTCAGGAGCATCAGGTGCCTCACCAGGTACTCAGGAGCGTCAGGTGCCCCACCAGGTACTCAGGAGCGTCAGGTGCCTCATCAGGTACTCAGGAGCGTCAGGTGCCTCACCAGGTACTCGGGAGCGTCAGGTGCCTCACCAGGTACTCAGGAGCATCAGTTCCTCACCAGGTACTCAGGGGCGTCAGGTGCCTCACCAGGTACTCAGGAGCGTCAGGTGCCTCACCAGGTACTCAGGAGCGTCAGGTGCCTCACCAGGTACTCAGGAGCGCCAGGTGCCTCACCAGGTACTCAGGAGCGTCAGGTGCCTCACCAGGTACTCAGCAGCGTCAGGTGCCTCACCAGGTACTCAGGAGCGTCAGGTGCCTCACCAGGTACTCAGGAGCATCAGGTGCCTCACCAGGTACTCAGGAGTGTCAGGTGCCTCACCAGGTACTCAGGAGCGTCAGGTGCCTCATCAGGTACTCAGGAGCATCAGGTGCCTCACCAGGTACTCAGGAGCGTCAGGTGCCCCACCAGGTACTCAGGAGCGTCAGGTGCCTCATCAGGTACTCAGGAGCGTCAGGTGCCTCACCAGGTACTCGGGAGCGTCAGGTGCCTCACCAGGTACTCAGGAGCATCAGTTCCTCACCAGGTACTCAGGGGCGTCAGGTGCCTCACCAGGTACTCAGGAGCGTCAGGTGCCTCACCAGGTACTCAGGAGCGTCAGGTGCCTCACCAGGTACTCAGGAGCGTCAGGTACCTAACCAGGTACTCAGGAGCATCAGGTGCCTCACCAGGTACTCAGGAGCGTCAGGTGCATCACCAGGTACTCAGGAGCGTCAGGTGCCTCACCAGGTACTCAGGAGCGTCAGGTGCCTCACCAGGTACTCAGGAGCGTCAGGTGCCTCACCAGGTACTCAGGAGCGTCAGGTGCCTCACCAGGTGCAGCAGAGCCATGAGCAGCAGGCATCGCACGTGGTAGAGCTGGCGGTTGTGGCGGCAGCACGCTGTAAACAGAGCCTTGGCTGCCGCTGCCGCCTGAGAGGGAAGGGGAGCATGAGAACCCCAGAAGCCGAGAGGGGCAGGAGGGGACGGGAAGAGATAGCGGAAGAGGAGAATGGGAAAAACCAGTTGTGGGAGTCGATGGTCATCAAATCGTTGCGTGCAAATCGGATGGAAGTGGCAAAATTGTGCTGTTGCGTGAAAAATAAATGATGTTGAAAAAGTAGAGGGGAAAGTGACAAATTGTGCACCTGAGGAAAGCACGTGGCGGCAATGAGGGTGTGCACGTGGCGGCATGCGGCCTCCAACTCCAAATCCACCTCCGTGCCGCCCGCCCCTCCGCCTGCGGGCGAGGGGCCGTGGCGCGTGGCAATGGTGGCCAGCTGCTGGCACACGAGCAGCGCGCGGGACGTGCGGCCACTGGAGGGAAGCACGAGGGGGGTTGGCGGGGTGGGCAGAAGAAGATTGGTGGGTGGAAGAAGCCTAGAGAAGCAGGGAGCGATTATGGGAAGAAGGCGGTGATCATGGGAGGGGAAGTGACAGACAAGCACACAGACGAGCACGCAGACGAGCACGCAGACGAGCACGCAGACTAGCACGCAGACGAGCATGCAGACGAGCAAGCAGACGAGCACGCAGACGAGCACGCAGACGAGCACGCATACGAGCACAGAGACGAGAACACAGACGACCACACAGACGAGCACGCAGACTAGCACACAGACGAGCACGCAGACGAGCACGCAGACGAGCACGCAGACGAGCACGCAGACGAGCACACACACGAGCACGCAGACAAGCACGCAGACGAGAACGCAGACAAGCACCCAGACGAGAAGGGAGACAAGCACGCAGACGAGCACAAGGACGAGCACACAGACGAGCACAAGGACGAGCACACAGACGAGCAAACAGACGAGCACGCAGACGAGCACGCAGACGAGCACACAGACGAGCACGCAGACGAGCACGCAGACGAGCACACAGACGAGCACACAGACGAGCACACGGACGAGCACACGGACGAGCATACAGACGAGCACACTGACGAGCACACAGACGAGCACACAGACGAGCACGCAGACGAGCACGCAGACGAGCACACAGACGAGCACGCAGACGAGCACGCAGACGAGCACACAGAAGAGCACACAGACAAGCACACGGACGAGCACACGGACGAGCATACAGACGAGCACACTGACGAGCACACAGACGAGCACACAGACGAGCACACAGACGAGCACACAGACAAGCACACAGACGAGCACACTGACGAGCACGCAGACGAGCACGCAGACGAGCACGCAGACGAGAAGGCAGACGAGCACGCAAACGAGCACACAGACGAGCACGCAGACGAGCACACAGACGCGCACACAGACGAGCACACAGACGAGCACAGAGACGAGCACGCAGACGAGCACACAGACGAGCACGTAGACGAGCACACAGACGAGCACACAGACGAGCACACAGACGAGCACACAGACGAGCACGCAGACTAGCACACAGACGAGCACACAGACGAGCACACAGACGAGCACACAGATGAGCTCTCAGACGAGCGCACAGACGAGCACACAGACGAGCACGCAGACGAGCACACAGACGAGCACACAGACGCGCACACAAACGAGCACACAGACGAGCACACAGACGAGCACGCAGACTAGCACACAGACGAGCACGCAGTCGAGCACACAGACGAGCACACAGACGAGCACACAGACTAGCACACAGACGTGCACACAGACGAGCACACAGACGAGCACACAGATGAGCTCTCAGACGAGCGCACAGACGAGCACACAGACGAGCACGCAGACGAGCACACAGACGAGCACGCAGACGAGCACACAGACGCGCACACAGACGAGCACACAGACGAGCACACAGACGAGCACGCAGACGAGAACGCAGACGAGCACGCAGACAAACACACAGAGGAGCACGCAGACAAGCACACAGACGAGCACACAGACGAGCACACAGACGAGCACGCAGACGAGCATGCAGACTAGCACGCAGACGAGCATGCAGACGAGCAAGCAGACGAGCACGCAGACGAGCACGCAGACGAGCACGCAGACGAGCACGCAGACGAGCACACAGACGAGAACACAGACGACCACACAGACGAGCACGCAGACTAGCACACAGACGAGGACGCAGACGAGCACACGGACGAGCATACAGACGAGGACACAGACGAGCACACAGACGAGCACAAAGACGAGCACACAGACTAGCACGTAAACGAGCACGTAGACGAGCACACAGACGAGCACACACACGAGCACACAGACGAGCACACAGACGAGCACGCAGACTAGCACACAGACGAGCACGCAGACGAGCACGCAGACGAGCACGCAGACGAACAGGCAGACGAGCACGCAGACGACCACGCAGACGAGCACGCAGACGAGCACACAGAGGAGCACACAGAGGAGCACACAGACGAGCACACAGACGAGCACACAGACGAGCACACAGACGAGCACACAGACAAGCACGCAGACGAGCACCCAGACGAGAAGGGAGACAAGCACGCAGACGAGCACAAGGACGAGCACACAGACGAGCACACAGACGAGCACACAGACGAGCAAACAGACGAGCACGCAGACGAGCACACAGACGAGCAAACAGACGAGCACGCAGACGAGCATGCAGACGAGCACACAGACGAGCACACAGACGAGCACACGGACGAGCACACGGACGAGCATACAGACGAGCACACAGACGAGCACACAGACGAGCACAAAGACGAGCACACAGACGAGCACATAGACGAGCACACAGACGAGCACACAGACGAGCACACAGACGAGCACACAGACGAGCACACAGACGAGCACGCAGACTAGCACACAGACGAGCACGCAGACGAGCACACAGACGCGCACACAGACGAGCACACAGACGAGCACACAGACGAGCACGCAGACGAGCACGCAGACGAGCACGCAGACAAACACACAGAGCAGCACGCAGACAAGCACACAGACGAGCACACAGACGAGCACACAGACGAGCACGCAGACGAGCATGCAGACTAGCACGCAGACGAGCACGCAGACGAGCAAGCAGACGAGCACGCAGACGAGCATGCAGACGAGCACGCAGACGAGCACGCAGAGGAGCACACAGACGAGAACACAGACGAGCACACGGACGAGCATACAGACGAGGACACAGACGAGCACACAGACGAGCACAAAGACGAGCACACAGACTAGCACGTAGAGGAGCACGTAGACGAGCACACAGACGAGCACACACACGAGCACACAGACGAGCACACAGACGAGCACGCAGACTAGCACACAGACGAGCACGCAGACGAGCACGCAGACGAGCACGCAGACGAGCAGGCAGACGAGCACGCAAACGACCATGCAGACGAGCACGCAGACGAGCACACAGAGGAGCACACAGAGGAGCACACAGACGAGCACACAGACGAGCACACAGACGAGCACACAGACGAGCACACAGACGAGCACACAGACAAGCGCACAGACGAGCGCACAGACGAGCCCACAGACGAGCACACAGACGAGCACGCAGACGAGCACGCAGACGAGCACAGAGACGAGCACGCAGACGAGCACACAGACGAGCACAGAGACGAACACACAGACGAGCACACAGACGAGCACACAGACGAGCACACAGACGAGCACGCAGCCGAGCACGCAGACGAGCACACAGACTAGCACACAGACGAGCACGCAGACGAGCACGCAGACGAGCACACAGACAAGCACGCAGACGAGAACGCAGACGAGCACCCAGACGAGCACGCAGACGAGCACGCAGACGAGCACAAGGACGAGCACACAGACGAGCACACAGACGAGCACACAGACGAGCAAACAGACGAGCACGCAGACGAGCATGCAGACGAGCACGGAGACAAGCACGCAGACGAGAACGCAGACGAGCACCCAGACGAGAAGGGAGACAAGCACGCAGACGAGCACAAGGACGAGCACACAGACGAGCACACAGACGAGCACACAGACGAGCACACAGACGAGCACACAGACGAGCACGCAGCCGAGCACGCAGACGAGCACACAGACTAGCACACAGACGAGCACGCAGACGAGCACGCAGACGAGCACACAGACAAGCACGCAGACGAGAACGCAGACGAGCACCCAGACGAGCACGCAGACGAGCACGCAGACGAGCACAAGGACGAGCACACAGACGAGCACACAGACGAGCACACAGACGAGCAAACAGACGAGCACGCAGACGAGCACACAGACGAGCAAACAGACGAGCACGCAGACGAGCATGCAGACGAGCACACAGACGAGCACACAGACGAGCACACGGACGAGCACACGGACGAGCATACAGACGAGCACACAGACGAGCACACAGACGAGCACAAAGACGAGCACACAGACGAGCACGTAGACGAGCACACAGACGAGCACACAGACGAGCACACAGACGAGCACACAGACGAGCACACAGACGAGCACGCAGACTAGCACACAGACGAGCACGCAGACGAGCACGCAGACGAGCACGCAGACGAGCAGGCAGACGAGCACGCAGACGAGCACGCAGACAAACACACAGACAAGCACGCAAACGAGAACGCAGACGAGCACACAGGCAAGCACGCAGACGAGAACGCAGACGAGCACCCAGACGAGCATGCAGACGAGCACGCAGACGAGCACAAGGACGAGCACACAGACGAGCACACAGACGAGCACACAGACGAGCAAACAGACGAGGCTGCAGACGAGCACGCAGAGCACACAGACGAGCACACAGACGAGCACACGGACGAGCACACGGACGAGCATACAGACGAGCACACAGACGAGCACACAGACGAGCACACAGACGAGCACACAGACGAGCACACACACGAGCACACAGAAGAGCACGCAGACGAGCACGCAGACGAGCACGCAGTCGAGCGCGCAGACGAGAAGGCAGACGAGCACGCAGACAAGCACACAGTCGAGCACGCAGTCGAGCACGCAGACTAGCACACAGACGAGCACGCAGTTGAGCACGCAGACGAGCACGCAGACGAGCACGCAGACGAGCACGTACACGAGCACACAGACGAGCACGCAGACGAGCACGCAGAATAACACACAGAGGAGCACTCTGACGAGCACGCAGACGAGCACACAGACGAGCACACAGACGAGCACACATACAAGCGCACAGACGAGCACACAGACGAGCACACAGACGAGCACACAGACGAGCACACAGACGAGCACGCAGACGAGCACACAGACGAGCACGCACACGAGCACGCAGACGAGCACACATACGAGCATACAGACGAGCACACAGACGAGAACACAGACGAGCACACAGATGAGCTCTCAGACGAGCGCACAGACGAGCACACAGACGAGCAC